TTATTTGGATTTAATTTCTGATAATATATGCAGCAGAGAGTATATCACGTTTGCAATAAGGTTTTCAATCGTAAAACATTATAATCCATAATACGTAGGAAAAATTGAAACTTCATTATGTTAGTTTCGTTAGAAATTTCGACGTGTCTATACCATATTAAATATTTCCATGCGTTCATAGCACGCTAAAATGTGCACTTTTTTATGATTGATATTTCGTTGAAGATTCTGAGCATTGCTTTACATGTTTGAGTTTTTTAATCAAACAATCTGTTTGAATGATAAGTGAAAATTCTGTACCGCAAAGTTTCTTGAAAGAGTATTCTGATGACTTATTAAATCTTTCAATATTATTTCTATCTTATAAAACTATCATATTGATTAGATTTTATTCTCTACCAATGTGTTCCTAACTGTAACATCACAGTGTTTTCATTTTGATTACTCACTCAATCCATGCTAATATTAAATGTATATAGAAGAATGAATGTGAACTTGAATGTGAGTTTAAGTATGGGTGTGTTTGTCGGTGTATCTATCCCTGATTATGTCGATGAAAATGTTAGTATTCATGCAGTGTAGTATTTTACTACAACTATTCAGTCAATCACAGTCACGCCGCAATACCCAAAGCCAAACACCACCCTGAAGAGCGAGTCAAGTTCTATCGATTAGTGTATGACTTAATCTGAAGGAAACAGTTCATAAGAAAATGATATGTCAATTTTAGACGCTTTATAGATATCTTGACATACAAAGGCCTAACTTTCAATCAAGTCAAATGCAAAATCTGTTGACCACAATATTTTTCGATATCCAAAATACTTAGTTCATGTTTTCGTGCACTCCTCTCTTCAATTAGGCTCAGTCTTCTAGACAACGGCAAATATGATTCTATTGATTTAAATTATACTAAGAACTCCTCAAGTTATTCATTCATCTAGTCATAAATTTCAATCATATTTGCACTATCCTACTCAATGACACAATGCAAGTATATTATGAAGATTCATGAAGCCTAATACGATGCATTGCTTATGCTTGGCGTGTACGTTTCTTTTTCAAGTTTTTTGCAAGAATAACCAAAATGATTATCTCTGCATCTATAAGGTAACATGTTTGTTTTTGCAGCAAATCAAAAGATGGTCTAGAGATATTATTTGGATCTAATTTCTGATAATATATGCAGCAGAGAGTCTGTCACGTTTGTCAATCATGTTTCCATTTGAGATCGAAAATATATGTTATAATCCACTTGAAATACTATTATTTTTCTTGTATCAAATTCTCTTATAAGCGTTTTCATACGAGAATATACAAAGTAGATTAAAAAACTAAGCTGTATTCTTTGTTTTATTGTTTTTGTTTATTTATTCATCATTATACTTCCATATAATTTAAAATGGAAATAAAACAACAGTGATTCGATTATGTTTTTCTTCTTCTAGATATTCGACATTTACTTTTTTGTTGTTCTTGTGAATTAAAATCATTCACATGGCCAAGGCAATGCAACCTGGTGACAAGTCTCGCTTTACTGATCTTTATAATGAACCTGTAGATCATCTTTTATCACCAATAAGAGGCTACCAAGATAAACCACTTGTTTCACTTACTCAAGCCATTGAACCAGTTTCTGGATTTTTTAATGAAATTGAAGACGATATCTTTGTTGCATTGCATAATTGTCAAAACCCAGCTGACGAATTAAACCAACAAGAATCAGCTTCTATACATCTATATACGATGCAACTTAGTGGCGGACCAAGTTTATATCATTTACTTAATCAGTCATTATGTGCTGAAAATCGTGATGAATTGCAACCATGGTTCTTATTCTTGAAATTATTTCTTACTGCACTACATAAATTACCATCACAAAGTGGAATAGTATGGCGTGGTATTCGAGATGTTGATTTAAGTTCAAAATACAAAAAGGGTATGAAATTTGCTTGGTGGGGAGTGAGTTCTTGTACTGTTGATATTGAAGTACTTGAATCAGATCAATTCTTGAGTAAATATGGAAAACGTACTCTCTTTTCAATTGAATGCATCCATGGAAAGTCCGTTGCAAAACACTCGTACTTTAAAAATACCGAAAAAGAAATTATTCTTATGCCAGGTTCATATTTCGAAGTGATGGGCCAATTAAATCCAGCACCTGAACTTCATATTATTCAATTAAAAGAAATTGCGCCACCAATTGCACTTGTTAAACCACCATTTTCTAAAGCGAACGAACAAAAATCTTCTTCGGTCGTTCATAAACCAAGTACATTTTCTCCATCGATGTCAACAATGATGAAAACTGCCAAAAGTGTTTCAGATAAAATGCCATCAATCACATCAGGTATGAACAATTTTATTCTATTCATTTTTACTTTTCCAACAAATTGATCGACGACAACGTTGTAGATAATATTCTTTCCTTCTTTTGAAAATTCTGACAACAGTTTTCTCTTATTTTGAAAAAAATAATAGTGAACTTTCTGAGTTTGAGAAATTTAGGACTGTATTTTACAACAATTTGTAGAGATTTAGGCTACATCGTTTTTTCATTCTAGGTAGCCTATCAGAGTTCTATTTTTTTCCTAATTGCAGGAGTTTGTAGACTATTTCTGTCTTGAGTTTCTGAATCTTTGCTCAACATCTTTCTAGGATTTTATGAGGATTTCATGTGATGAGCCTATTTCACCAATTAAATAGCAATTTAAATTAGCAAAAAACTTGATTATGTTCTGCAACAAGCCGAATTGTTTGGGGATATTTGGAGTTCGAAAATATATGTTATAATCCACTTGAAATACTATTATTTTTCTTGTATCAAA